TAGTCGTGTTTTGTTTTGTGTGTCAGTTCTACTAGTGAATGTCACAGTTGCTGCAAAAAAGCCACCAAAGGCATATTGCATGAAACGCTGAGTGACACACCTGCTGTCAGACCTGCAGGTTTATCCCTGTGCTGTTCTCATCTGTGTTATAGTGGACACAAACTATTTTTTGGAGTTGCATAAATCATTTTTGTGCCTTCTTATCTGATGCAGAACAGCTGATTCTTCTGTAAAGTAGTTTAAAGTAGTTATATAAAAAAACTGAGCCTTGGCTGCATTTTTAGGTAAATGGTACCATATAACTTTGTTGTTTGCAAAACTGACAATTTATTTAAAAATGTACAATTTCTATTTGCATTTGAATTTCTGAAAATGATTCATTAAATATGCTTGTGGTTTTTACAGTCAAAAATATCACTTTCTACTCGTATTTTAAATTTTGTCTGAATTTAGATAAATTGTTGTATGTTGAAATGAGAAAATAACAGATTAAAAACTCTTTATCTTGCCAAAGGTGAAATATAGTCAAAAACGGCCAATTATTCCCTGGACCCCAGAGGGTTAAAGGCTAAAAGCAAAGTTGTCACCAAGTACTGTTTATATTTGTGTGTATTGCTGCAGCTTTTTTGAGTATTAACTTGGTGCCTTTGGGTGAAATAATGGTAATATGAGGGACTGATCCATATGGTCACAAAGACTAGCCACTTGTTTCTGTGCTACCAAAGTTCCCCGGCTTTCATTCAAAATGTGTTTCTGGTCAGCACCTGCACATTAAACTACTTAAACATTATGAATGGCTTCAAGCTCACACTGAGGCCTGTGGGGCACAATCAGCCACTGAGACAGTACACACCCATTGAATGTGTATTTGTATATGAATATTTCATACTTTAAGGCTGCCTGTTTATTTAAGGGAGATGAACAAAATACATTGGAGTTGTACGTGATAATATGACGGATGATAAATTCAATAGATTTTAAGTAGATACTTGTAAATTTTCTTATAGTCTTATATGTTGAATTGAACTATGTGATCTATTCAAAGCCTCCCAGTGAGTGCTGTTCTCCATGCCTGTCTGACTGTACATGATGGTATTAGCACAAACACTTTAAAGGTGATCATTTAGGACTTCAGCAATAATACAGACAGCAATGTAGTTAGCAATAAAACAGTTTCATTGGGAATTAACTTAAAAAACAAACAACAAACAAACATCTCCTATTTCTTGTCACATAGGAAAGAAGCATCAATCCATCCATCCATGAGCGCTTTTTTTCTCCAGGGGTATTTTTTTTTTTTTTAACTGTTTTCAAACTTAACTTAAAATTTCAGTGTTTCCTAGTTGGGGACTATTGGTTAGTCCAGCCGATTAAGAAATTAATTGTCACAAACATCCCTAATATTATATAACAGACAACAGAAAACAAGACAGTTTTTTTTCTACGCAATAGAGCTATAATACGTTTTTTTTTTTTTTTTTAATTATCCTACTTTTTATAAAAGAGAACATTTATTAAAGAATATGTATTTAATTAAAAAACTCTGTTCATCTACAGTGGAGATGAATATCTCTAACAAGTTGATTTGTTCACATTTGCACATCTTAATTTTTAAGAGGAATGTGTTTTTTGAGTTTGTACACTATATGCATGTAAGGCAACAGTTTCCTTTTTCACTATCTTTGTGTGCTGCATTTTCCTCTTTTAACAAAAGGGGAACAAAAGACATTTAAGTCGAGACCTAAGAGGATTTGTTAAAATTTTTACAAGGTCTTACTGAGGTGATGCAAAGTGAAACATGCTTTCTTCTTTTTTGGTAATGTGCTGGAAAAGCTTGAAAATTTACCTTGAATGTGCTTAAAAAGTGCTTGAATTTGACCCTGAAAAATGTGTATGAACCCTGTAGCTGATTGTCAGCCTTCCCTGGTGATTTAGTAACTAATAAGGAAGCTACTTCAGCAACTAAAGCACACTACATTGCCAAATATGTAAAAAAAAAAAAACAAACCAAAAAAACTGGAAACACTACACACTGTTTCTTCATTTGAGGCAAAATGCACTTTTGAGTACTACCAAGAAGGAGAAGTAGCAGCTGGTCATGTGGAAGAGCAAAGACTGGATGTGCTCATACACGGGGAAAGAAGGCCTGTAAGCAACTTGCTAAAAAAGCCTGAGTAAAGATACAACATTCCAGTTAGCAAATATTTTCCTTTTTTATACAATACTGCGCTGCTACTGAAGAGTTAAAACGCTTTAGTTATTCTCAGACAGAAGTATTATGCAGTTATTTTTTACTTTAAATTTCTGGAGAAGATACGACTTCTGAAGTGTCACTGGATATAACGCTCCATGCCAAGCTGCAGGCATCAAAGCGTTGTTCAGTATTTTTATTTTATTCGTGTATTTATTTTGTCATTAGACATTTTTTTTCAATATCATGATCTAACTTTGAGGCCATATTGGCCGGTAATAGTGATCATTACAAAAATAAATGTACGTTGTCATTTTAGAAAGTTCTTGTTTCTTTTTAATAACCATGTTGTACTTGTTGGTAGACAAGGTCATGGAGGATGAACTGGCTGACTACAATGGAGATGATGAGAATGAAGGGGAGCCTGAAGCAGACAAACAAGCTGAGCTAGCTCAAATCTAAGGTATACACTCAGACTCACACACTGTTGTCTTGCTCCGTGGCATTCACATACTCTATTCTTCAGGTCGTGATGAAAAAAACACTGACTCAACATGATATGCAGTGTAATTGCTGAAATAGTGTCGTATCAAGCACACGTTTTTGTTCAGAGAGCAACCTGAATTTGATTTTCTTCATGCTTACTAAATTTTATGAGTTTAACGACTATTTAGCATCCACCCATTCTGCATTACTCCACTGCAAATTACAAAGATGAGACATCTGGAGTTATTGATCTGGCCTTCCTTAAGGGTTTTAACCTAATGATGGACTCCTTCACTTGCTTCAGCATCTGTATGAATCTCATATTTAGAGTTAAAGTTGAACAGTTACCATATCCAAGTTCAACACTTAGAATAAACTCATATTTGCTTAATTATTTGTGGAATAACAAGGAAACTGGCGTCACCAGGCCCTGAAGCTGTTGATCAGCCAATCATCCAGTTGCTTTTCAGCCTTTAAAAATGTATAAAAATGACTGTATGTTCTGAACAGTTCACAGTACTTTTGTTAAACTCCTTGAATTAAAGCTAAAGGTCTGCATATTAACTTCTTGGCAAAACTGTACATGTCAAAAAGTTCAGCAAGTGAGAGACTAATAATTATTTTGAAAGACAACCCCCTGCATCCCGACTGAGCTCAGCAGAATCAGGAAAGCAGCCAGCAACAAAGAAGAGAAAATATGATACAGTTCTATGTAAATATCCTGTGGTGATGAGTGTGGGAGATGGCCAGGCTGGAGCCAGGCCCAGTCATTTTACTGCAGAAACAAAACCATGAATAAACATAAAAAGGAAAAGCTACACTTGGGAACTAAAGTCTGATACAGCAGCATGTAGTAATAAATCAGTAAATAAGTACCAAGATGAAAATGAAAAGCTCAGTACATCATGCATACTGAAGTACAGACAGTTAAGGAAACAGTTGGCACATTCGTTCACTGATGCATCTTTTTCTGAATGTATTTTTGTTGCAGGGCACAGCTTGAGAAGGATGCCGGATATCAGATTGGGGAAACAGGATCTGCTTTACATCCACAATGCTGTAAAGGTTCAAGCAGCTCGGGGGGAAAATAAACATCAAATAGAATTCACTGTATGAAAAACTGGTTAAAAGTAGCTTCCTGGATGACTTTCTTTAATCTTTTAATTTGATATTTTCTTATCATCTACTATTTAACTCATGTCTCAAGACTGTCGACTTGGAAAAACTGAATACCTGGAATTCAAGCATTGTAATGACGTGTTGACTTTCACTGTTTGTCTAGTTTTCAGTGGTTTTAAGGTTTGAAAAGCTGCAACAAGTTTAAAGATCTGAGTAATTTCTGTCACAGAATTGCTCCATCTGGCCGCCGCTCTACAAGATTCAACAGCACGTTGAACAAAGCCTTAACTCACTCATAGAAATGATTTTGACTTTCGGGTCAGAGGTCAAGATATGCTAATAATTATGTTAGTTCTAAAGCGCCATTATCAAACTGTTCAGAGCTGCGTTTTCAATCACAGCGTGTCAAACGTGTGAGTTTTAAATTATAATGAAATGGAATTGCTGGAAAATGCTGACACGTAGTACGTTCTTTACCTGATCATAGGTTAACATTTTGACTGTCTTTGGTCTGCGGGGCTAAATGGACTGTGCATTATGTCTATAAGTGGAAGGGGGGGTCTGACAATTGCTGTTACATTATGAAGGGCATTTCCATGGAGCGGGGATGGCACCTCAAGCTTTATTTCTCCTGCACTAATTTGGAAGCAGTTAGGCAAATGTCAAGTAATATTAGCTAGATGTCAGGTGTAATTATATCCAGATTATTTTCTGCCTTTTGTTGTATGCAGGTTTGTCTGCGCTCTGCTCTCTATAGAAAAATTGACTAAAGAGCTGCAATTATAGACAGTGTTAGAAGTGTAATCACTGTAATTTTCATAACACCGTGGTTATCATTGCAAGTATCCTGACGCATGCAGTGCAAATTTCTCTTCCTAGGCTACTTTTCATTTGCCAATTTGAATTTTTTTCTTTCTTTGGGTGGTTAAAGTACAATAGGTTTCTAACGCAGTGACATTCATCTGCCTGGTGTGACGATGGGTTTGACTGCTGGTGTTATTCAGCCCACAGAAACTTCTATTTTCAGTTCAAGCACCTAAAATGTTTTGTTCTGTTGATTTTAAAGCACACGATCTGCCTTTTGGTAGAAAGTGTGCAGCCGCCAAATTAATGTGGTCTTCACGTTACACGTAAATGCATTAGCTTCAGTGCAGAAGCACAGACAGACTATATGTGGAGGAATGTATGAGCTGTAGTTGTTTCTCAAGCTCTGAAGCACACACAGGTAAACTAAAAGCTTCTCGGATACAACATTGTTTAGGTATCATAGATGGAGTTTGTCTACTGTATAATTTTCCGTCTAAAATCAGTTACATCATTTCTTGAAATGACTGAAATATTAAAAAAAAAAAAAGTGTCATTATGAAATTCTTGACCTAATCAGAGGTTGCAGAGCTTGGGAAGCAACTGTTCATTTCAAATTCTAGATCAAATAGCTTTGATCCTTTTAGCAACACGGACTAAGAGATGATAGTCTATAGGCAGCAGCACTATCTCATGCTTGAACATAAGTCAACATCACTCCTGCAGCAGCACTCCTCAAAACTAATCAATGCAATTTTGCTGCCTTGTTGTCTCCCTTTTGGCCCATCTGCAGGGAACTTGCGTTACAGATTTATTTTTTATTTTTATTTTTTTTGATTGTGTTATTTTATTTATGTTTTTTATTGTTTGTTTCAGCGTCTAACTTTGCAATCCTTGATAACTACTGCATTGTTTTCAGGAAGTTTTGTTTACTGAACTCAAAAGTATGTGTAGCCTGAGAGAATGTTTTATGATTTTTATTAATTAGATTAACTTTTATTAAAATTGGATTTGTTGGAATTTGCATTTTATTTTATTCTGCTGAACAAATTTGTGAAAGGTTTTTAAAAAATCATTGCCTTTATTGACAATAAAAATGTTTTTATTTCCTCTATCGATACATTTTCATGAGGGAGTAATATGTCACAAAGCTCAAATCATATGAAAGTTTACAGGTGTAAATCCTTCAGTAAAAATGATCAGCTCTTTACAGGCTTCCATTTTCCCTGTTTCATTCAAAAGTGCTCTAATCACACCACTGCTCAACAAAAAAGAACTAATTATAAACCTATTTCTAATCTTTCTTTCCTCAGCAAAATATTTGAAAAAATGTTCATAAAAAATTGAATGAATATCTTTAGATAAGTACCAGTCAGGTTTCAGAACTAATCACAGCTCTTATTTAAAGCTTGAAGATAGAGAATGACTCACTTTTAGTTACTTTTAGTTGTAACTCTTCTCAGCTTCACTGCTGCCTTTAACACTGCTCATCAAAATATTTTAAGTCAAAGGCATCATGATTGAGTTTAACAAGCCAGGTTCTCAAATTGTAAGACTGACGTTTATGTGCTTCAATTAGTAGTTTTAGACTTGCAGAAATAAAACTTTCGGCAGGGGTACCTCAAGCTGTTGTCCTTGGTCCACTGCTCTTTAGCCTTTACATAACATTTACAAAGGTTGGTTTATACATTTAGAGAAACAGCTTGCGGCACAAAAGACTAATTTGAATGCAACAAACAACCTAGCTGGAGTTGACCTCATCTTGCAGTGTGGCAAACTTGAAGAATGTGTCCCAGCTTGTCTCCATCAGGGTGTCTGCAGATCTGGGTGAAGCTGCAGAAGGGCTTTGGAAAAAACTTCCCTGTAAACATGCATACACATTTAGTTACAGGTTTAAGCTAGTGGAAAAAAAGACATGCAATAAGCTTATTTAAGATGAAAGTGCACACAATCAGCTACTGATTAGAAAAGTATTGATTTTGGTGCTGGTTTAGCTCAGTCGAATGAGCAGGCGACCATATGCCACATGGCTGAAGGCAGGCACAGTCTTTTTTTCTTTTCTTTTTAGGTGCCAGTCTGTCATTGGTGAGACGGATGCTGGTAAATTTGCTGGAGTGTCCAGTCCTGGGAAGATTATAGTGAAGGCTCTAGACCAGCAAACTCCCAACACATTTCAGTAGCAACAGATGGCTGATACGTTCCCTCTTAATTCCTGTGGAAGCATTAAATATATTCCTCATAGAGTTTTTTCATTAAAATCCAGTGTAAACTTTGCTTCATCTTGGAGCATGTTTAAACATGTCTTCCATCAATCACCTTCTTATAATTGAGAATGAGCTTCATTTTGAATAGTTTTAAGACTATGTTACTGTTACTGATTCAGAAAGTAAAGTAAGGTCAGGAAATGTGTCAGCATACAGT